TTAGCTTGCCTTAACCTCGAAGAATCATCAGAGGCAAATCAGAAGCAATTTGTGTTGTACAGAGAAATGGGTTTAGTGCAATTATACATTCTTACTTTCTCCTTCTGTGAAAATGCTTGTTTGAAGTCCATGTCACCCAAACAGCAAGTGCATATGGTACTTTAACTAGCTGCTTGTGAAGGAGCAAAATGTTTTAAATAGCAGCAGATGGTCTGTGACCATACGTTAAATCTCTTTGTATGTGACTTCTGGAAATAATTTATGAAATGTTTATCTTTGTGGCTAAAAATGCAACCTAATTTAGGAATAGTTAGCTGAAAGTCAAGGCTGTGGATCACATCCCATCTGTAGGCAGTTACAAAGTTCTTTGCCCTGTAGAGGTGAGACAGCAATTTCATTAATTTCTTTTGCATTTCAGACCACTGAGCACTTAGTGTCTCTGTGCTATGGAGTACCAGTGACAGCCTTAGTGTGAATTCTAAGTTTGTGGCAGTAATCCTGTATTGTTTTTTTTTCTCCTGTGAATGACAAATGAGTGATGTAAATTTACATTTTTTGTCTTCTGCAGAATACCATATTTTGAAACCAGTGCAGCAAATGGGAATAATGTAAGCAAAGCCATTGAAACTCTGCTTGACCTCATTATGAAGCGCATGGAACGGTGTGTGGATAAATCCTGGATCCCTGAAGGGGTGGTGCGCTCCAATGGGCACAGCTCTACAGAACAACTGAGTGAGGAGCAAGAAAAAGGCAGATGTGGCTGTTAGCCTAGTTAACTTCAATGTGTATGATATAGTACAGTTGCAGCTTACCTGTTTAACTTTGGGGCAAATCACTTTGTGTAGTTATTTAATGAGCTATATTAATTCTTGATACTAATTTTTGTTTGCTTCCTCTCAGACAACATTGACCTTCACTTGCAAGGTATGCATTTTCTTAGTGGTGGGACAGAGGTTTAATGTGGTGTAGTACTGGTTGTTCCTCTAATTCTCTGCTTGGGAGGAAAGGAATTCTCATTACCAAATTCAGAAACATCTCTCTTTGGGCAGCCAGAAAGGGGAGGCTCTGAACTCAAGGGTTTTCAGTTGCCCTTGGAAGGCTCCCATTAACTACACAGACTTGGCATTTAGATTAAATATTATGACAGTTCTTGGCTACCAACAGCAAGATTGCCAACTCGGTTCTTGGTTTTAAACAGAAACATTTAATCATTTCACCAATTAATAACAATTTGAAAGAACACATCCTGTGTTTTCCACAAARGCCTGTGAGTAGCTTTTCCTTGCTCTCCTAAACCATCCATTTTCAGTGATGAAAACCAAAGGGAAGCTATTCAGTACAGAACAAAAAGAAGCASAGGGGTGTGCACATGGAGCACTTGGGGCATGTCAGTAATAGAGCATGTAAACTACAACTGTACTATATAACATATATCCAACGCAGCTTATGAGACCTCCTGACATAATTTGAATTTCTAGAACATGCATATCCATCAATTTATATGTGAATGGCATAACTGTACAGCTGTTATGTTTCTTTTTTATTACACTCATGTTTTAACWGGAATGTATGGCGACATAAATGTCAGCAAAATTTCATCAGAGCTGGTGCTGTGCACTGAATTTGTTTTGCCAAACACAGTTTGAGAATGTTTCTTCAAATTTGGATTGAGAAAGGAATGTTTATTGTCTTCTGGTGATGCAGCTAAGATGCTAGTCCTGTAAATCAGTATTTCTATGAATTTATAGTGCTCATTTTATTCTGCCAGCCTTTGTGTCCTGTACATCTTGGTTATCATATAGTCATTTATGGCTTGTTCATTTCTTTTAGGTTGTATTTAAAAAAGAATTGACTTTTCCTTTTCTTTTTACTTTTCCTTTTCTCCCCCTATGGATCACATAAATGTAATTTTTGGTTTCAGTGGATCATGTTACTCTAACCATTTTTATTTATTCATGTGACCTAAGAAACAATCAGTATTTTTTGGGCTTTTGTCCAGACTGATTTATAAGATGTGCCTACCAAACTCTTTTCTACCCTGGCAGAGGCTGTGTAATTGTAAGGTATTGCCAATTAAAGTCATAACATGCCAAATTGAGTCTTGTTACAGACCTTCCACAGCAGCTTGTTTACAGAACTCCAAAGCTATTGCTTCTTTAGAAATTATGTATTTATTTATTTAAATATTCAACTACTGCAACTTCAGGCAAGTATTGATACCAGTTATGAATATGAATTGCAGCATAACAAAWTTTTTGAAGGAAGGACCAAAAATGTTTCTAGAATAGGACCTAAATAAAAAAATATTTGATGTAGCTTCTGGTTATACTAATTAATACAAGAGTAAGTATTAAAACTTGGTTCTTAAAATATTTTACACAGTAATGCATTGTTCTTTAACAAACACAACATGTAAATATTAGATTTTTATCACAGCCAACACAGAATATTTTAAAAGTGCAATATAATTTGACTGCTCTGGGGCTAGGACAGAGATAAGAGCAATTTATATATGGGTATAGGGTTTTGGTTTTTTTCTACTCCACTTCTGAAATGCTTGTAGACCGGTGTTACTGTAGTTTAATTCAGAGTGCCTTTTGGAGTTACCATCACATCTCTGAGCAGTAGAGTAAGAAACTCTACTGTAAGACACAATACATTTCAGTGTACTTCAGTGTCTGAATTTCTTTTAATGTACCCCTTTGCTTTTCAGAGGGTTGCAGTGKAACTTTGTCATGCATTAACTTAAAATGGGAGTTTTTGTGCTTATAGCTCCATCCAGTTCCTAAAAACTTTAAGGATTATTGCAACCAGTTATTGAGCTAAGTGACTACTGAAAGAGTAAAAATATTTCTTTTTGAATACTTGTGTTTAAATTGGATATTAAATATTAAATACTGAAACTGTCATATTTGTGTCATGACTATTATTTGTAATTATTTATAAAGAGGATCTGCATAAAATTGCTTTGATCTCAGTCTTTGAAATGTGCTGTAAGATTTATCTGTTTGAATTATTCTGTGACAAAACTTCTGTTCCCTTTTAAACTCTCATGGGAAATCACAGTAAATATTTCTTGAYAGTAAACTACACTGTTCTTACTAGACTAGTACTGACTTTAAAAAACAAAGAAACAAGAATTCTGATGTGATGAGAAMCTTATTTCAAGAAAAGTTGTTTCCATTCAGTCAGATGGAGATATTGATCTGTAATTGAACAAAGTTTTGAAAAATATTTCCATTAAGATGKATTGTCCCAGGATTTCTTGTTATAATATAAAATAGTTAAACATTCCTGTTATGAACTTTGCCAGCACTGTTGAACTGAATTGTAACATTTCCTGTTGTCCTGGTTCAATRTCAGTCTGTGTCCTACTGCAGTGTCCCTGTGTCTTGTGAGATTTTAGTTCAAATGTGTCCAAGGTCTGTGCTGTGCTGAGATATTTCTTGGTGGCCCCTTCTTGCACTGACCAAAGCAGTCAGATGGAGCWGGTGAATCCTGGGGGATGCCAGGAGGAGCCCTAACCTGTCAAAGGCAATGGAGGCATCAGTTCTGTGTTCCTAAAACATGCAAAATGTTGCTCATCTGAGTGTGCCATGTGTTCAGAGCAAAGGGAATCAAGCAATACATTTTGTAAACTTTATTACTTCTACAAAGATAAGGAGCCTGATTTTTCAGAATAACTGCTTTCAGCATGAGCAGTGTCTATTACCAGGTAGGTTATAATTGGCTGGAGGACACTACTGCTATTCAGAGATTCCTTGACAGGCAAGAGGATGAATTGAACTAAACCTCATTAAGTTGGGAAAGGGCAAATATGGCTGGGTATTCCATCTGTGCTGGAATAACCCTATGCAGTAGTGCTTGCTGAAAAAAATATTTCTCTGAAAAGGGGATGAGCATCCAGTTCTGAAGTAGGCTGACCAGAAGCCAGAAGTGTGCTGCTGTGGCAGAGAAGTCCAGCTGTATTCAGGGCTGCACTGGTAAAAAGAAARTGGAGCCAGACTCATCTCAGAGGGCACTGGCATAGGAAAGAGGTAAGAGAGAAACATTCTCTAGAAAATTAAGATTAAATAGTAGGAAAAGATTGTCACCATACAAGTGGTCAGAAATTGGAACAGAAGCTCAGGAAGGTTATGGAATCTCCATCCTTGCAGATACTARCAACTAAACTAGATATAGCCCTGAGCCAGGTATTAGCTCTCTTTTGGGCAGGGCTTTACTCTAGATGACYTCCAGAAGCATCTTGCACCCAACATGATCGTATGTCTCTGAACCTGATCCTACATGTGCATTTGCCTGGCAGTTGTTCATTCTTTCATATGACTGTATGACAGTTCTTTTACTTCTATTAGGAAACTTGTRCCAGAAAAAAAAGAACTGCTTTAGAGGTATATGCAATTTTAACAGATGGATTTTTCACCAGATACTCAGGTGAATAATTTATTTTAAATGGAGAAGCGGGAATTGTGGTGGTAAACGTTATGTGGTGAGGAAGATTTCAGACTCAGGCCTGTGACAGCATCCAAAATTGCAGAATAGAGAGAAGACCTTCAATTCCAAGCAATGTGGAAGGTACAGGGCTTAGGGTTTATGTCCTGGCACAATGAACAGGTAACTCTGTAGGAGAGGGAACAGAGGGAGTAATAGGTACCTATATGGTGTGCAGAGCCATTGATTTTAGACACAACTAAAAAATTTGCTTAGAAGACTTGGATTTTACAGATATGAAAACGGCAGAGAAGTGCTGCCTGGATTTTACAATCAATCAAACTGTAKACTTAAAAATCTATGTCTAACTCCCTGTCATTTCCTTGGGTTACTGTGTATATCCTTAGGTTGGTACCGATCCATTCATTTCAGCTACACTGCTTTCACCATTGTTGATTTATAAACGTTCGCCAGGGCCGTGAGCCAAGGGGCGGGCGCGGTGCGCGGCGGGGCCGGCAGGGGGCGCGGTGGCGC